GGTGGACGTTGTGTTTTGGAAGCCCCGCTGGGTCTGCGGTGCGCGCCGTGCTCAGGAGCCGCCCGACGCCTGGAGGAGGAGGGTGAACCCTGCCCAGCTGCCGGGGTTCGCCTCCAGCCGCCGGCCCTCCCGTGAGGAGCCGCTCCCACCCGCCCTTGTCACCGCGGGCCTCACGGCCCCCGCCCCATCCTCAGCACCTGCGGGTACTCGTCTGGTTCCCGCTCAGCAGTCACAAATGCATCGCTGAATGTCATGGTAGCAGTCTATGAAGTATCCCTAAATTTTCTTCTTAATGTAGCGTCAGTGAAGGCTGTCATTGCTAGGGAAGCTTAGGTCAGGCAGAGCTTAACGTGGGGAGCTGGTGGAAGTGGGGTGCAGTACGGGAGATCTGAGAACAAAGGAAGGCCTTAAAGGCTGTAGGAAGGAGGAAGAGAGGCAAGGGGGGTGTTTAAAAAGCACGTTGTAGTTACTTTGAAAATCTGACTAGAGTTCCTTTGAAATTCTGCTTGCTAATAGTTGATGCAGTTTTCGTGTTGTGTGTTAACTCTCTAATGTTTTGATTCTATTAAGTTTTTCCTGAATGTCTCGATTACTAATCTAATTAAATTGTTAAGTAAGTTATTTTGTTTAAATTATTATTGGTTGGTATAATTTTCCCACTTGCTGGATTGAAATGTCTGCTTTTCAAAAGCAGTTTATCAGCACTAGTGCAGCCCAACTAGTATTTAACAAAATTTCAACAGTCATGTGACAGCAATATGCAGGTATATTTGTAGGAATGCTTTTCATTTTTAGGGTCTGAGAGAAGGTGTTTTTTAACTGTGAAGATCCTTCTTAATGTTTCCTGTCCTTTTTTTGACAGGATGAAGCAGGAATCCCAGGTATACTAGTTGGAGTTTCTGTGGATGGAAAGGAAGTCTGGTCAGAAGGTTAGTGTATGGGTGTAGTAGTTGTGCATGCTGCTGGTAAGTGATGAACATTTTAAAAATGAACAGTTTGAACACACTGATCAAGTTGAGATTTCATCCACTTGATGTCCCATCTCCAGGCAGTGGCCAGAAGCAGGTACCTAGGGAGTATGAAGTGATACTTTCCATGGTAAACTTCAATAATTTCCAGGAATTGATAATTATTATCTTCCTGAATGTGCTAGTGTATCTCAGTGATGTTTAAGAACCTTTTTTCCAGTAATTTGTCAATTGGTCTTTGAATGTACTCTAGGCATACAGCTGTACAGTGTTCTGGTAGAATTGTATACAGGAGGTAAAGAACTGTTCTCTGCACAGGAACTTAAGTAATAGTCACAGTAATAATGGATCACATTTGGTGATCTGTCTTCCATTTGTGAGCTGAGGTGTAGATTTTTCCTGGGAAAGTACTGAGAATTTAACAGGTGTCATCCATCCAGGAATTGCAAGTGATTTTTCTGGTTACACAGTTCAATTTTAAATAGTCTGTTAATGCTGCTCATATCACATAGATATTTGATGTTTATTTAAAAAAACACACCAAACACTTTCAGTTTTCAGAAACATTTTTATAATGTTTATTGCATTTTTTTGGACAACTTAAATGGTAGTAGTAAATGGCAACATATTTCATTAATGTGTTACAGAATTAAAAAAAAATCTTTGTAAGTAAGATTGTTACTAGCTTTCTTCTGACAGTCTGTTTTTGGATTAACTTTTTTATAAATATATAAAGCTGATCATAGGTTTTAATTTCTCTCTCATCATGGCAGAAGTGAGTTGGAGAGCCTCTTGGTGCCTTTTGTAATGTGGCATCATAAGAAAATTGTGCTAGAAACTTAATCACAAACTTTCCTAAAATAGGTAGCTTTTTCTGGTCTCAAATTACCTAGCAATGAAAGCAGAAGGTTTTATAAGACTTACTGGACATGCAGGAAGGTGCAGAGGGAACTAGTGCCAGGGTTGTGGTTTATCACCAGAACTGCCAGATCCAGTTGCAAGACGTGTGTGAGCATAAGCCATGGCAGAGCTTTCTTTACCCTACCACATGTGGGTATAGAGAACAAAACTGCTGTGAGTAAGGTAGCTCGGAGGTGGGGTAGCATGGCTTTAGCAGACTTCTGGCTCATTTTGTTGTCCTCCCTTATTGCTGGGGTGGGGAGGCGGAATAGAAACAGATGTAAGTTGCATGTATTCTGTGACCATGGTACTAAACCTGCTTTCTTGCTAAACTGATGAGAGTGGTTTGAGGTTCGAAAGGTATTTTCACCAAGTAGTGAAAATTTTTTTCTACATTCACAAGCACAGTGCAAGCACCTGAGTAGCAACTTTACGTAAAAGAAAGGGTCTTGAGCTGCTGACGTTATCTGGTTTATTTTTTGTATTTTGGCAAGGGTTGAGGTTTTTTTCTGAGCAGTTCATTATTGGACTACAGTTTTATATAGATAGACATGCATTTCTTGCAGGCCTTGCTTGTACTGAAAATTGTGAATATATCATTACTGTGTTTCATTGCTTTTTATGCTGCAACATTACTTGCACAGTTTCTTCAAACCTAGCTCAAGCAAAAGTAGTATGGGAGCTTGATAATGCCTTATTAATTCCAGTTCTTGCTACCAGACTTGTGGGTTGGTTACATAGAAAAGCACTGGTGTGGAGATTGTTAAGCTGTCTTTAAATTGAAGTCATGCTGAGTGGTGTTGAAATATTCCATGTAACACCACTGTTTCGTGAAGCTTTACAGCTGAGGTAATTGCTAGGAGTTTGTGAGTTAGTTCCTTTCTCAGTTTATGTATGGATAAAATAAGAGCCTTTACTGTTTCAACCATTAATTCAGAACAATAAAAGGAGTATTTATGACTGTTGGCCAGTCATTTTACAGTCTAGATTTTTGTCTCTTTAGGTTTTTTTACATAGAATATTTGACCTCAGGAGTGTAAATTTTGGTTTAATCTTCAATCTCATTTATTATTAAGTTTGTTTTGTAGTCTTAATCAGTAACTTGGTATGCCATTGGGCTTAATTAACTGTTCCTACCACATTAAAGTGTTTTTAAGTTAATTGAAGCAGAAACAGGGATGTTTCTGGATGCAGAAACAATGCAGTTTAGCTAGAGGAAAAACATTTTAAGGAGCCAGTAAATATAATTCATTGCAAATAATTAATTCAGGATGTCTCTGTGCAAAATATTTACCACAGTGTTTTTATTGTCTTAAAGGTTTGGGTTATGCTGATGTAGAGAATCGTGTAGTATGTAAGCCAGAGACGATCATGCGAATCGCTAGTATTAGCAAGTGTCTTACAGTGATGGCTGTTGCTAAACTGTGGGAAGAGGGGAAACTGGATTTAGATGCTCCAGTGCAAAAATATGTCCCTGAATTTCCAGAAAAAGTCTACGAGGGTGAAAAGGTATGTAATTGTTTATTGGTTGGATTTTTGTTCCTGTACATGTGCACAGCCATATGTGTACAGGTGCCTGTATCTGGACCTAGTTCTATAGAACCATAGAATGTATTGGGTTGGAAGGGACCTTTAAAGAACACCCAGTCCAACCCCCCTGCAGTGAGTAGGGACAATGTTAATAGATCAGGTTGCTCAGAGCCCCACCAGGCCTGACCTTGAATATCTCCAGGGATGGCACCTCCACCACCTCTCTGGGCAACCTGTGCTGGTGATCTACCACCCTTGTGGTGAAGAACTTTTTCCTAATATCCAACCTAAATCTACCCTTTTCTAGTTTAAAACCATTACCCCTCGTCCTATCACTACATGCCCTAGTGAACAGCTCTTCCCCAGCTTTCTTAAAGGCACCTTTCAGGTATTGGCCCCCCAGAGCCTTCTCTTCTCCAGGCTGAACAACCCAAACTCTCTCAGCCTGTCTTTGTAGGAGAGGTGCTCCAGCCCTTTGATCATCTTTGTGGCCTCCTCTGGACCCGTTCCAGCACTTCCATGTCCTTTTTGTGTTGAGGACTGCAAAGCTGGACGCAGTATTCCAGGTGAGGTCTCACCAGAGCAGAGTAGAGTAGAGGGATCTGCTGGCCACACTTCTTGTGATGCAGCCCAGGATGCAGTTGGCCTTCTGGCCTGCAGATGCACATTGGTGGCACATGTCCAGCTTTTCAACCACTAGTACCCTCAAGTGCTTTTCCTCAGGGCTGCTTTCCAGCACATCTTCTATCCTGTATCTGTAATGAGGATTGTCCCTACCCAGGTGCAGGACCCTGCCCTTGGCCTTGTTGAACCTCCGAGATTCACCTGGGCCCACATCTCCAGCTTGTCCAGGTCCCTCAGCTTGGTAACATCAGAGAACTTGCTGAGGATGCCCTCAGTCCCACTGTCAATATAATTAATTAAGATATTAAACAGCACTGGTCCCAGTACAGACCCCCGAGGGACACCACTTGTCACCGTCTTCCATCTGAACGTTGAGTCATTGACCACTACTCTCTGGATGCGACCATCCAGCCAATTCCTCATCCACTGAACAGCCTACCCATCAAATCCATACCTGTCCAACTTGGAGAGAAGGATGCTATGGGGTACCAATTAATTAAGATATTAAACAGCACTGGTCCCAGTACAGACCCCCGAGGGACACCACTTGTCACCGTCTTCCATCTGAACGTTGAGTCATTGACCACTACTCTCTGGATGCGACCATCCAGCCAATTCCTCATCCACTGAACAGCCTACCCATCAAATCCATACCTGTCCAACTTGGAGAGAAGGATGCTATGGGGTACCATGTCAAAGGCCTTGCAGAGATTCAGATTGATGACATCCATAGCTCTTCCCTTGTCTACTGATGCAGTTACCCCATTGTAGAAAGCCACTGGGTTGGTCAGGGAGGACTTGCCCCTAGTAAAGCCATGCTGGCTGTCTCAAATCACCTCCCTGTCCTCCATGTGCCTCAGCACAGCTTCTAGGAGGATCTGTTCCATGATCTTCAGGGGCACAGAGATAAGGCTGACAGGACAGTAGTTCCCAGGGTCCTCCTTTCTACCCTTTTTGAAAATGAGAGTGATGTTTCCCTTCTTCCAGTCACCAGGGACTTCACCTGACTGCCATGACTTTTCACATATCATGGAGAGTGGCTTGGCAACTACATCAGCCAATTCCTGAAATTCCTGTGAAACACCAGAGATAATTTAGACAAGTAGTGATGTTTGCTGCTCAAAAAAGCAGCACTGGAAATTTGGATCTTCAGTTTGTCCCAGTTTGACCTAAACAAAACTAATTCTCTATTCAGTGATTTTATTTTTCAGTTAAGTCTGTTCTAAGTGACTGTCCTTTCTGAAACTATGGACATGTATTTCCAGACAGTGTTTGCTTCTACAAGTGATAGTGCTTGATGTTTATAGGTACTACTAGAATAGAATGCAAATCTGTTGAGGTTTAGGGCTGGGCTGCCCACTAAATGACTGACACAGTTTTGTATCAAGTGTGTAATGTGTGCATATATGTATATATTTTAAATGGGTTTAATACCTGATATTTAAAAGGACTTATATCTTTATCTGCTCCTTGTCATGTTGAATTTTACTTTTCTGGTGATTTAGGGTGCATCATGTCTGTAATGAAGAGAGCTCACACTTAAATATTGTCCTTTCTACCTAGGTCACTATTACTACAAGACTGTTAGTTTCACACTTGAGTGGGATTCGTCACTATGAAAAAGATATTACAAAAGTAAAGGAAGAAAAAGAAAAGGCAAACAGAGCATTTAAACTAACAAAACCTTATCAGGATAAAGAACAAAAGGAAAAAGAAGGCACAGGGATTGAAAATGCTGATTCTGACAAACCGAGGAAAGAATACAAAGGAGAGGTAAAAAGCCGAAATTCAAAACCTGGCAGGAGAGACAAGGAATTTGAGCAAGAAGAGTATTATTTGAAGGAAAAATTTGAAAGCGTGATTGAATCACTGAAGATATTTAAAAATGATCCTTTATTCTTTAAACCAGGTGAGTTTCTATTAATTTAGACCAAAATGTGGTCTTCTAGTGAAATTTTAGTTTCAAATGGTTTTACATGCAGTAAGGATAGTAGAGTCCATTTAAGATTGATTGTGTGGGGTCTTTGTTTTGTTCTGCTCCCCCTGTCCCTCCACTTCTTTCTTCCTGTTTTCTTCCTGTTTTCTTCCTGTTTTCTTCCTGTTTTCTTCCTGTTTTCTTCCTGTTTTCTTCCTGTTTTCTTCCTGTTTTCTTCCTGTTTTCTTCCTGTTTTCTGTTTTCCCTGGTGGTTTTTTCCTGGGTTTTTTTTCCTTTTTATCTTGTATAGATATCTTTACCAGTCTACTGACTTAAAGAATAATGTTTATATAGATACCTTCTAATGGTATCTATCTTCTTCTGACTGTATATGCAGATTCCTGTAAATATTTTAGCACTGTTTTCAGAGCTGCTTGCACTTAGCAAGCATCTGTGTCTGCTGTAGTACAGAAATTCTTAAGGCACAGTATCATAAGCTTGTGACACATTGTATTAAAATAGGGGTGGAGAGGGCGTCTTGTAATTGATTATTCATTTGCTATGTATAGTTTTATTTGCACATGTGATTACTTAAATTTTATCCTTCAGATTCCATTTAAACATCATGCAGCTAACATTTTTCTACCACCTTTGTCATTGTGTTTCTTCAAGGTAGTCAGTTCTTGTATTCAACGTATGGCTTTACTCTCTTAAGTGCTGTTGTGGAGAGAGTTTCAGGACAAAAATTTACAGATTATATGCTAAAAATGTTTCGTGACTTGGATATGCTATCAACTGTACTAGATGACAACGAAGCAATGATCTATAACAGAGCAAGGTAAACAAGGATGAAACTTTTTTTTCCCACAACAATTGTTGCTCTTTCTATCTTTATTAAGCCAATTTAGTTAAGAATGTGTGAAAAAAAAGATTCAGGCTTTTAAATGAAGTGGCTTATGTTATTTCCAAGCTAGTCATGTAATTCAGTTTATGTCAGCATTATGGTTTGGTGCTGTAATTATCATGTAAAATTACAGCAAAGGAAATAACTATTTCCTGTTATAAGATTGTGTCTGAGGGAGAGTGGCAGGTGTCACTGAAGTTTGCATTACACAAATGGTATACATGGGTACAAAGAAGCAGGTAAGTGTAAATACAGTAAAATAAAGGAGTAACTAGAAGATTGTGTTAGAATACGTAGTTATCTTGGTTTGCTTAATATATTTACTTTTTTAAGAGTTCCGTAGAATTATAATAGTCTCACAGTAACACAAAGTTTTAATAAAAAAATTGTTGTATCAATTTTAACTAGAATTAAAATTCTGTTTAGCGCAGAACATGCTTTACCAATTGGTTTCTTTTTATTAACTTAAAAACCAAAACAAAACACACAAAAAACCCCAAAACAAAAAACCCAGAAAAATATATGTAATCTATAGCCTATGTAATCAGTAATCTATTCCAAGATAGTGGATAAGACTGGAGAAAAAGAAAAGAAACTCTACCCTTATTTTATTGACCTACATGTGTTAAATTTTGGTGCAGGAGAAGAATTTGAACTGAATAACAAAAGCTGGTTATGGAAAAAGTCTCATGAAAATGAGACCCAAACTTTCTACAAGTTTGGCTTCTAAAATGCTCTCAAAGAATGAAAATGGTGATGAATGCGTTGAATCCAAGGCTTATAGTACTTGCATAAACGTGTGCATTTAATGTGTGTGTGTTTGTACATACACACATGCGTGCACACGCACACAAAGCAGTTTGTAGTGTTTTAGGATAGCTTTACTGCTGTATTCTGGGATGCTTTGCTGGTATTTATTTTGCTTGCAAATTTTCAGAGGCTCTTCTGGTTGTTGATCTGGATGCTAGTGATGTTCTTATAAATTCTCAAGCTTGTACAGTCAAGTTATTTTAAATATATGTGTGTATAACTCATTCTAGGCTGAAATATGGTAGGGGTGAATGAATTGGGATGGACGCTGTTTTAGAGGTCATTTTATGGGCTACTTATTGTTAAGCAAAGGAGATGCTAATGCAGTGGTTTTGCTTCCACAAATAGCTAGCTTGGTGCCTCAGAATAGAGCATATTGACATACTGTGGTTTGTTTAATGGTTTGGTTACACTGTATTATGCTGACATGAAAATGTTTAAAAATTCATCTTCTAGATCTTTTAGAGGTGTAAGTCAAGCATTTTAGTGTCTTTGTGACAGGTTTTATTGTGATCGAAAAACTGACTGTAGGGACACCGAGATGATCAAGTCACTGGCAGAGTTGATGGTAGTCTTGGACCATTCATTGATCTTTCATTGCTTCAGCCTCTGATTTTCAGTATTATGGCTTTCACAACTTTCTAAAAAGGTTTCCAATATAAATGCAGACTAGATAGAGAATGTATTTCTGTACTGTTTGATACTAGGCTTGCCCTGCCCTCCTCCCCCTTTCTTTCTTATTTTTTTTCATGTGGTTCATTTTCACAGCTCTAAGTAGTACATGTAGTAGACCACTCTTGTGGTCTAAAGGAAAAAGGTTGAAACTCATCAGATTACACAGTTATTCAACATTCCTTTTCAGATGTTGTATGTAATGAATCCGGCCATAATTGGACTGTTTCTTTGAGAAGCATCGTTCAGTCTGCACTCCTGTTGTGTTGTTCCTGATAGTTCATTCTGCAATTCCAGTTGGTAGTTTCTAATTTGTATTTTAATGACAGGTTTTGCAAGACTATGTCATGATTCTCATTTTTCTTAGTTCCATAATATTCAGTTATTGTAGTATATGACAACTGTAATGGGGCATTGGGGGCAATCAATCATAAATAGAAACTACTGTCTCGGAGCAGACATCAAAGACTTCAGTGAAATTTCAGCTCAGTGTCTGATAATCATGGGGTACTTGTAGGATTCCTCTTTCTTTTTTACATCTAGTACAGGGATTTAAGAAAAATCCTGTACTGGCTGATCTATAGATTTGTCATATATTGGTATTTTGCCTTTACTCTCAGTATATCCTAAGAATAAGTAAAAGGATGAGTACTTTTATTGAAACTAAGCTTCTAACCTAAGAAATCACCTTTAATTTTGGTTTTTTCCATCTGAATTTCTTGTTGATATTTCTGCAAGAAATATATTTAAGAAAGGGATATTTTAAAAAACCCTAAAGTTTCACAAGAAAAAACTAATGCATGCTCAGTTTACCCTTTTAAGGTAGGGCAGCTTAAAATAGTTGTGCACGGTATCTGAGAATGACAAGTTGAATTTTCTTGAATTCTAGATGTTATGTTTACAACAAAAAGGGACGGCTGGTAAATGCACCATATGTGGACAACTCTTACAAGTGGGCTGGTGGTGGCTTTCTGTCATCAGTAGGTGACCTTCTGAAATTTGGAAATGCCTTGTTATACAGTTATCAAGCTGGACAATTTAAAACCAATAATGGCAAACTTCTTCCTGGATACCTCAAACCAGATACAGTTGCAATGATGTGGACCCCAGTGCCAAAAACAGAAGTATCGTGGGACAGGGATGGTAAATACGCGATGGGATGGGCTGTAGTAGAGAAGAAGCAACAATGTGGCTGTTGCAGACAGCAGAGACACTATGCATCTCATACAGGTGGTGCAGTTGGGGCAAGTAGTGTCCTCCTCATTCTTCCTGAAGAACTGGACTCTGAAGCTATAGATACTGGGCTAGTGGCACCACCTAGAGGAGTAATTGTTACCATTATCTGTAATATGCAATCCGTTTCACTCAACAGCACCGCCTTAAAGATTGCAAGGGAATTTGATAAAGAAAAATGGGCACAATATACAGATTGAGAAGAAATACACTTGTAACTGAACTCACTGCACCGAAACATGAAAAGCAAATTGAGAAGCGTGTAGTTGGACTCCAAGATCACTAAGAATATCTAAATAAAAAGCATCAAAAATTTACTCAGTTAACTTCTGCCAGTGGTGCTAAACTGACGTGTAACTGGAATTCATCTCTCAGGGAAGTTCCTAACTTACAGAAAAGGAGAATGTAACAGTCACATTTTACTTCCTATAGTACCTGTGTAAATTTTCATTGCATTAGCAGGTTTTCTTCTCATCCAGTCAAGCACTTGACCCAGATTAATAAAACTAGCATTGTTTTCTTGCCCTGAGAAGTACAACCATGAATTATCTACCTTAAGTGTTAAACTTTTGAAAAAATGTACATCTTGATTTGCGCATACGAAGATCTAATTAGTTAATCTCACAGTTTCAGTCTGCCAAAACTGTTGGGTATTACTTTTTAAAGAAGAATGGGTTTATTGTTATTCTTTCTGTTTTCACATAGTGCTTTTCTTACGTGCTTATACACTGGTTTAGGCTAAGATAGAGTTAATTTTCTTCACAGTAGCTAGTACTTAGGTGCGCATCTTTGGCTTTGCCTACTAAACTGTCTTTATCTCAACCCATTAGTTTTCTCACTTTCATTCTTCCGATTCTTTTTCTTACTTTTACTCTTCTGATTCTCTCCCTCATCGCAGTGGGGGGCAGTGAGCGAATGGTGCTTAGTTTCTGGCTCGGGTTAAACCACAACAGCTGAAAAAGCAAAAAAACCCAACAAAACCTACATCTTGAAGCTCCCTCTAGAATGCAGATATATACCAGAAATACACTTTTGTTAGAGCTATGGATTAAGAATTCAATTTTACTATAGGAATACAGTAACATCTGAATATGTTAATTTTGTATATTTCATAATGGGATGGAAGATCTCCATAATCTCTAAGATTTATCCCCACCCTTACTTCTCCTGCAGTTACATTGGATGGTATTTCCAGGCTGAGACAAAACAAGATATCCTTCAGGAGAGGTTTGGATACTTACACCCCTGCACTGTTTAGCAGCTCTGTTCTGCTGAGCAAGGAAAAGGCACAAGATGTCTTAACAGCTAGAAGATAGCCTTACCTGCCTCTTCCTCAAGTTAATGCTTTTAGTATTAACTTCATAGTTGTTAACGGCCCTGTGGTGACACAGCATCCTGTCATCTGTCCCCAGTATGCCTGTGATAACGTTTGTTTCTTAAGACTGACAAACCAGGAAATGTCATATTTTGAGGTGTCAGTGTTTTACCTACTTTTTTAATTAAAGATAGGACTGGTTTAGTAGTCTTCGTAATTATAATCATTATTGTGCCTTAAAACAGTAAAAGCTTACATCTAAACTATTTGCTTGGGTTTTCTGGCCCACTCACCAAAACTTCGCTTTTTTTATTCATTAATAATGGGTTGTCTTTATTTCAAGGATACCAAATCAGTAGAGGCAACAGAGAGAACCTTTCTGAACAAACCTTAATTTGATCATGCAATAAATTATCTACGCTTTTACTGAAGTCTTTGATATTCTTTGGCAGTTCCAGTACAGAAGTACTGGAGGTGAGCATCCTCTACAATAGCATCATGTTTTGGTTTTTTGGTTTTTTTCCCCCCCAATGTTGAGCACCTACTGGGTAAACGTGCAGCAGCAGAAGACATTGCCCATTTTACACAGGGAACAAGAGTAAGTAGTTCTGAGTTGTTTTTGTGTTGAAGAATACATGAATAGAAGTAGACCAAATACAATGTTTTAAACATAGAAAAATCTGAGATGTAACATTGTTATTTTAGGATTTATAACATATTTTTCTTGTATGGTGCATCTCTTTTGCAAATGGTATTTATTGTTCTTGAAAACCATTTTGCATACTTGAGAAAACAAGTTTCACTCACTGACTATTGTATTTGGGTTTAAACAAAGATTGAGAATGTAGGTGGTGAAGGTTTACCATTAGGCTTGTGTGCATATGACCAAATACTAAAAATGTAAATATTTGAAGTATGTATGAAAGTGAATAGTGCTAAGAAGTGTCTAAGATATTTCTAACACCAAGATATTATTAACAGTGTCTCACTCCCCTGGTAGGATATGCTTAGACACCAACTTTTTATATGAATACCATGTTGTTTATACTGCACCTCCTGGCTTTTAAAAAACTCTGCTGTCACATGTAAAGCATCAGAGATGCTATGATGTCTATTTTTCCTCTTCCAGTATCTGGAACAAAATGAGTTACTGACTTTCTCTGATTTGGTATTTACTTAATCATCAGTTCTTATCTCCTAGGTGGAGGAAGGAAAGGCAGAGATAGGGGAAACTAGGAATCAATCTGGCCTTAGCACGTATATTCAGGTCACAAGTGAATTAATATTGCTACTTTGATCTTTGTTCTGAAACCAGGTATTTGTTGGACTGGCATTAAGTGTGGGCAACTGGTCAATTAAGAGCAGTTTGCATAATAAACTTGCTCTTAAGTTAACTTCTATTGGTTAACTTAAACACAGTATGGCACTGACATAAAACTGTACTTTTTGTAACAGGCATGTATGCTGTTTCTGTATCCACGACCTACATTTTGCATCTGGTAATTGTAAGTGCTCATTGTTTGAATTAACTGAAATAAAACATCTTGCAAATTCAACAAATTGTAATATCAAGTTTGGGTGGTGTTTTGTTTTTATTCACTAGAAACATACAAGTTTTAAGAGTCATTTAAAGAATACAAGTTAAATAGAAGCTCCCAACAATAATTAGCTTGCCAAGACACCTGATACTTTGAAAGATATGTTGATATGTAACTGGAGATACTATTTAGTAAAATAAGATACATGTAAGACTTTGAATGTTTTCTCATGGTTTAAAGAAAATCCACTCTTCCACACCCATCTAAAACGGGATGGCTTTCAAAAATCTGTTGCCTCGCTGCAAAAGGGTAATTACTGATTTAATGTCAGTATTTAATACTGACTAGTACTAGTATTTTTAATGACTGGATAACATTCAGTTGTTAAGTGCAGTTTGCAGATGTACTGTTGCCTCCTCTGTACTGAATGCTTTTGATGTTTTACAAAAGACGCTTCTTTCTTTTTTAATAGAAATCTCAGTATAGAATACCAAGTGCAGTTTCAAGACCAGATTAGTGGGAGGAAAAAACCATGCACTCCAGAAAAATAGTAATAGTGAGTAACTTTATATTTTTATTTATCACCGCGTTACTCAACACAGTAAAGGGACTAAAGCAATGTTGAAAGCAAATGAGCCATTTTAAATCTGTCTGGCCTTTGCCACCCTTGCAGTTAGGGCAGCTGCAGTAATAAAGTTTACAAAATGCATTCTTAGAGCAGTTTCTGTCACCACATGCATTACACTGCTGTAGTTGATGATTAACAAGGGGAACAATGCAGCAAGTCCAAGTTCTTTAATTAACTGACACTAGCTAATTAACAATACATTGTTTAAAAGTAAAATTACAAAAATAAAGCTCAGTTGTCTGTAAACTTGCAGGAAAAACATGCACTTCAAATCATTTCTTGAAAAAGACATTCCAGCTCATTAGTCACCAGTAGCATGTAATTTTTACAAAATCAATTGTAATTACATTGTTGTATCAACAGGCATTTTTAAACTGGTAAGGCTTTCAGGAACACAGATCCAAAACCACATGCTGAAGTGTTCAGTGTTGCTTTCTTCTAAATGAACAGCCTGTAAAGAAGTCACGAGAGTATAAATATAAATAGTCCTTAAATTGTTAGAGTGCCTTCGAGAATTGCCCACCCAACTTAAGTAGGAAATCTCATACAATAAATTTAAATTTCATGTACCACAAGAGGTGAAGATTGGGCACTTTGAGTCTTCTCTAATTCAACCAGAACAACATGACTATCATATAATTCATCTTAAAATGAGGCTAAGGTGTATTGTTCCTTTTCTCCCAGATGCCTTTTAGAATTTTAGTCTGCTGTTCTGTCCCTTAGTGAAACAAACCCCAAACTGAAACAGCTGCTAGGAGTGTTGATACCTTTTCAACTGCTCAACAACCTTACTTTAGGTATTCTGTCCTCATACAAGCTACATCCATGTAGTAGCACGTGGTATAAGCACCACTATATGTAATTTGCACATGTATTTTTACCTTCTGTCCTTTAAACAAAGCATGACTAAAATATGATTTGTTCTTTAACTTTTTTAAACCCTCAAGTGGTTCCAGTGTTTTTCATACACCCCAGACACTGGGTTGCATTTCAAGGGAATGGTGCTATAGCAGTTATCTGTATATAATTATCAGTGGTTATTTGTTCCTTTACAATTTACACAAAACGAATGTTGAGCAAGTAACATGAGCCAGGGAACTGCCTTACAGTACTCCTGTTTACAAACAGGCAGGCCACCACTGACTAGCAGTGGCACAGAATCACATTAGACTGGCAAAAGTACCCTACTCCTTTAGCGGTGCTTTTTAATGCTCTAAACTTAGCTCAGAGTTACATAGGCAGTATTTATTACAGATAGGCTCAAGGAAATGACATGTCAAAGCACCTAAAATCAAGTGTATTTAATCACAATGTAGCTGCCTAGCTGACTGGGATATCTCTATAGCTATTTAAAAACAAATATCTGAAGAGAAATTTGGAATTCAGGGCCCATTAACAGTGTTTAGCCAACTGTAAGCAGTTTGCAAAATAAGCATTCCAATATCAGCTTTCAAAATCCAAGTTAAAATATTTGCAGGCTGTAAGTACATATATGCAATTTTGTAAGTGGAATATTTAGGCTGCTAAACACTGCCCCTTACCTTCTGTGAGCCTGGCTTTCCCCCCAGTAGGCTGACACAGGACAGTTGAGCACCCTACGCAGAGAACTACTGTCTGAGCATGGCTGAATACAGTGGTGATCTTGTAGCATCCTGGAAAACAGCATTATTACACTTTCCCTTAAGTACTTCTAGCATGATTTTTCAATTGTATGTGTCACTGAATCAGATACTCTAAATACAGCTGTCCAAAAATGGAACTATACTTCATAACAAAGCAAAACATTACTGTGGTCCGAAGCACTTGCTTTTACTGACGTGCATACAAAAACAAGTTAGTTAACTATTATGACTCCGCATATGAAAATCAACAGAGCCTGACTGCTGACAAGCACTAATTTGCTTGTACTACATCTCCTGCAAAAAAAAAAAGTCAGAGTTCTAAACTAACCTTTTCTGAATAGAAGAACCCACCTAGCTAGAGAAATATTTAACTTGTAATAGAACACTGCTGTTGACAAAGACTGGAAGCTCTGAATATAAACACTGCTGCTCAAATCTGTGTTTGCTTTCTGTTTAGTAATTGGTACACATAAGGCATGTGCTTGGTTGCATTCCACAAAGCTAGCATGGTATTTAAACAAGAACACTTGTACAGAATAACTTCACTAATTCAGGTGCAAGAGGACGCATCAGCAACACTTTATCTACAACTTCTAAATTCTATGACTTAAGAAAGAAAGAAGTCACTCTCATACATGACTTAGAGAAAGGGATTTTCACTGCTTTTATTCTTTTTCCTGACAAGTATTTTTAATTAGCCAAGAGGAATTTTTGTAGATGGGAAACTTGTAAAGGTTTTCTAGATGTGGATATAGAAAAAAGACAGATGCATTTTCAGCATGTGTGAACCAGAAAGATAGAATATATGTTGTGAGGAAGTTCCTCAGAAAGCTCTCTGACAAGAGAGTTCCTGTTAGACAGAATTACAGCTTTCTGCTTTGTTTAAATTGGAAATGGTAACTGCACAAACCTTTGTTTGCAAACATCTGCTAGCAGCTAAAATTTAACCATAGCAAGTGTTGTTTTCTGTCCATGAATGTCAGCTTCCACATTCATGAGTTTATAACTTAGTGGATTTTGCAGGGAAAGGAGCCTGATCCATTTCAGTAATTAGGCAGCAACTTCCAACACCACCGAATGATGCATAAGACCATATTTTCAGTGCCTCGTGCTTAGGACTCAGTCATTATTGAAGCTCTCCTGCTTTGCTCCATACATCCCTCAAACTCAATAACCAATCCAACAATAATGAATATAACCAATGATCTATGGGCCTATGTAGACATTAACTGTATCTTAGTATATGCACACATGTACACTGGTTTGAAGAAAGAAAAAAAAAAACCAGTTGCTTAGTCTTCAAGCATGTATTTTTTAAAAGTAACCACACTACTTTCAAGCAGTTTTAATGAATTTACCTCACTTCTGGATGGAAAACAATGTCTCAGAGCTTCTTAGAAATCTAAGCTACTAAGAAAGAATAAAATAAGAAAACCTGTGTACAGCAACAATTCCCTACTTCTAGTCGGGATGATCGCTATTGTAAGTAAGCATTTCTATGCAATTTCGTACTGCTATAGTCTTGTTATACTGCACTAGTTTCTAGGATGCTGGTAGAGCATACTCCTGCAGCTGTGCTAAAAAAACCCTCATGTTTTAGTTTATAGAAGAGAAACTGGTTATACAGATGTTTCTGAGCCAAAGTAATGAAAATCTGTAAGAAGTGGACACAGGCAACACCTTAGATATAACTCCTGAGCTAGATGTCAGCTTACTTCTTAACAGCAACATGTGGAAAAGGCAGTTGTATGTGTTTTATTTTTTATGTTAAGTCCCAGTATACCTGCATGTATCCTTGTGAAGTTTCTTCTGGGTGCTCTTCCAGATTCAACCAACTTACAATAGGAGGAAAACAACGCGGTCCTCTATTTGAAACTTGTGCCATGGCTGCTTTAAGGCATCCATTTCATCTCACTTCTTACACATGTAAATCTGGGGGTTTGGTTTTTTTCCTTATTTGCCAGGATTTCGTAGGAGAAAAAAAAGAAAACCCACCCAAAAAAACCCAATCACAAAAAATCTGATGCCAGACTACCAGAAAAGAAAGTAACAAGCTGATTGTTTAAATTAACATTTGAAAAAGGTTGAAAACGCTTATTGTTAAAAAAAAAAATCCCAAAGGAATACAGACTTTTTTTTTCCTCTACAAAACAGATGAACCACATTTAGATTAAAAGAAAATAAATCGGACCTTTTATGGAGATCGAGTGCATACAAAATTAGCTTGGTTCCTTCTGTGAGATACAAACATCCCAAATATTTCCCTGGACATTTTACATCCATGAAGTAGGAGTTTGGGCTCTGCACAAGACGTTTCTTTTTGTGCTTGCTCTTCTCGTCCTCCGCGGAGGGATGCAGCAGGTCTTTAGCCAGCTGGGCGGGAGAAGAGGGAGAGCGCAGTGCCCGTTAAAGGGCGCTCGGCCGGCGCGGACAGGCCTCCTTCAGTCTGTTCCCGGGCGCGGCCGCAGCGCCAGAGCCAACCTCCCTGGCAGAGCTGAGGACGAGGGAGCGGCGAGACCCCTCCCG